GCATGGCCCCTGGTCTATCACCCCAGAACTAAAACAATTTCCGAGGCCAACTCTTCAGACAGGGATTGGACTGGACTGTGGGACATAAAGTGATACTTGTGAAGAATGTGCCTGTTAGTCAAGCAGATACAAGAGAACAAAGCAGGGGCTTCTGTCCAGAGGTGAGATGGGAAGGCAGAGAGAGTTAGGAGCTGATTGAATGTTCATGGGGAATCAGGGGCAGAGGGGAGGAGTGTGCTGTCACAGAATGGGGTGACCGGTTGGGGTCTCATAACCATGTATGTTAAAAAAAAAAAAAATTCTTCATGGGAGACTAACTTGAAATGTAAATTTCATTTAATTACAACAATAAAAAAAATTAGCACTTATCACATTTCATTCTGATCCCCAGTAGACAGTGACCTACTTAAGGGCAGGAATATCATTTTATTTGTGATTATATCCTGGCTTCTTGCCTACAGAAAACAGGCAAATAAACAAGAAAGGGGGGAGAAAGTAAAAATTGCAGACCTTTTTTATTCATATATGTTAAAGAAATAATTATCGAATTCCTGACTTCCAAAAATAAATATTATTCCCCAAAATATTCTTATGTAGACTGTATAATATGGTTGTTGCAGTATTTGAAGTTCTCTACTTCCAGCACCCATTACGTGATTTTGGCCACTTCTTTCGGTCTGAAATCAGTCTGTTTAGATTAAAAAAAAAAAAAAATCCTTCATAAATTTGAATCATCTTAATTTCTTAGTTCCTCATTCATTCATGGCATTAACTAGTGTTATGATCAGAATTTATAAATCTACAACTTCTGCTTTAAAAAAATAGAATGTGCTTCAACATACCTTTGTACAAGGAAAGGTAATACTTTAGTATCCTTTAAATTTTTCCAACTGAATTTACTATGCTTTACTTTAAAAAGAGTCATTCACTTTTATAAAATTACATCTTTTTTTTTTTTTTTTTAGGACATACAATAAGGTATAGGTACACAAAATTTAAATCCGGATAATTCAGGATTTTAGAAAGTAATTAAAGGGCATCTCACATCCTGGAATAGGTGATTTTTTGTTGATGAAATGTCCACAAGGCAATCACTAAATTTCATTACAAATTTCCATGACTCTAAGAAAAAGTTATGAAATTACGTTCTCCATGAAGGGAAATGATAGAATTCATTTAACATCTATTTATTTAGCACTATGATCAAAGTAGAGCACTGGTGGCACAGTGGTTAAGAGCTTGGCTATTGTCATGGATTGCATTGTGTCCCCCAAAAATGTATGTCAACTTGGCTAGGCCATGATTCCCAGTATTGTGTGACTGTCCACCATTTTTTCATCTGATGTGATTTTCCTATGTGCTGTAAATCCTACCTCTATGATGTTAATGAGGTGGGATTAGTGGCTGTTATGTTAATGATGCAGGACTCAATCTACAAGATTAGGTTGTGTCTTAAACCAATCTCTTTTGAGATGTAAAAGAGAGAAATGAGCAGAGGGACAGGGAGATCTCATACCACCAAGAAACAAGAACTAGGAGAACACCGCATCCTTTGGACCCAGGATCCCTGTGCTGAGAAGCTCCTTGACTAGGGGAAGATTGATGACAAGCACCTTCCTCCAGAGTCAACAGAGAAGAGAAAGCCTTCCCCTGGAGCTGACACCCTGAATTTGGACTTGTAGCCTACTAGACCATGAGAGAATAAATTTCTCTTTGTTAAAGCCATCCACTTGTGGTATTTCTGTTATAGCAGCACTAGATAACTAAGGCAGCTGCTAACCAAAAGGGTGGCAGTTCGAATCCCCCAGCTGTTCCTTAGAAATCCTATGGGGCAGTTCTACTCTGTCCCATAGGGTCGCTATGAGTCAGAATCGATTCAGTGGCAACAGGTTTTTGTTTTTTTGTTTCTTAAACATTCAAAGCATGATACTAGTAACTATAGGGGACATTAAGATGGATAAGACATTTCACCTCCCTCAATTCCCTAGGGGAAATGACCAGACTATAAATAACTATAAGTTCAATGTGATGTATCACGAAAAAGGTCTAAAATGCTGTAACAGTTCAGAAGAGAAAGATACTATATACTGAGTTGTAAAGAATAAGATATAAGCCCTGAAGAACAGACAGAATTTTTAAAACAAGAATTAGGGAAAAGGCCATTCCAGGTTGTGGGAACAGCAAAGACAAGGAACCAAGACAGAAAACATGAGTCAGTGTGGGCACAGAAAGGGGCTCATTTAGCAGAACTTCAGCTTCCCACTCAGTCCTTGGCTTTGCTCACTTCCTGGTTTCAGTGTTTCCTTCCATCTCATCCAGAGTCTGACAGCTTAAGGCTAAAACATAAATGCCCTTCTTATTTCCCAAGGAATCCTGGGCTCAATTCAGTGGGCAATGGGGAATAATTGAACATTTTTGAGCAGGGCAGTACTTGAGAAAAATTAATCTGGTAACAACAGAAAGAACTGGAAGGGAGAGAACAAGATACTACAGTAACACAAGAAAGGCAAGGATACAGAACTCACTGTTGCTAAAAGCTTTTGGTAATAAACTCAAACACTGCAACAAGGAGTTTTGAAGCAACCTATACAGCTTCCTTTGTATTTAAAATCCCATATAAAATGCATATGTAATTCCCAGAAAACTTTACAACCGCATTCTAATCTTCTTGGAATTCCTCTTTCTAAGAAAAAGTCTGATTCTATTTTTTATGTGACAGCTTTCAAGGCCAACCACTCCTCCTCTGCCTTTTGTCCCATATCTGTGCAAGACACAAGAAAGCCCAGACACTCCTTTCCTTGGAGCCAGCAGGGACTATTAAACCACACAAACTTCAGCCCATGCATAGGAACCCTCATCTCGGCCCACTCTCTAACCACAATAAAAACCAAAGCTATTCTCCGTTTCCTTCTCTCAAGCCAAATGGACCAGCTTGGGAGCCTGTCCTGCTCTCCCCGGAAAGCCTCATTATGAGTAATAAATCTTGTCATATACTCTTGTTATGTGTGCACTATCATCAGTCTTGATTATCCAAAAAATTTTGAGTTGGTGGGGTTGATCCCACCCTCCATGGGGCAACCACATGACACTCTTAAACCGTGAGCCACTGTAATGACCTTACTATACCTAGGCTGAAGGTAGGAAAATGCAGAGAAGGGGCATGGTGGAAATACTGAAAGGCTTCCTGAACCCCAGAGACCACTCACAGGGGACTGCCCCTTTATTAAATGTCCTATGGCCTGAAGTTCAGCTCAGTGTTGACTATGTTGCAGGGTCATACACATCACTCAAATCGCCAGGTATCAACTTTAAAACTATTCAATGTACAATTAGTAAATGCTTGGCTCGAGCCTCTCCTCACTGGCTAACTCTAAGACACTGCTCACTAACAGGGGTTACGTGCTTAACTATCCCATAATCACTTGCTTTAAACTAGAAGAGATCGCTACCCAATTTGGAATGGAAATGCAGTTAAAAATTTCCACTTTTTTAGAGTTCTGAACTAAAGTGTCAGGTCAACTGAGAAGCTAAAATAAAAGTCACAAATAAAAACTTTCTTCAAATAGCACTTTAGTTATAAGCCAAATGATAATCTTGGTACATGCACAGTACAGAAAGTATTTTCATGTCTTTTCAACCACACCTACAGACATCTAAAGGTCATAATCATAAAAAACTGTGTCGTCCTCAGAGAATTTAGAGATTCATAATATCAAGTACTTACACATCTTTAGCTGCTCCTGCAGGGCCTGGGGGGGAAAAAATAACTGTATTAGCATCATAGTCTTGCTACAAAGATTTTAAGCCTGATACCCAACCAATATAATACTCTAAGAGACCAGCTGAGAACATGACTTTTTAAAGTATCATCTCAGAAAGGAAAAAGGAGAGCAAGAAAATCATAAAGTTCAAGTCTTAAGCGAATTCTGTCATTTTTAACAACTCCTATCAATTACAAGGTGCTGGTTCTGAAAGGGACATTAAAAAAACAAAAAACAAACCCACTGCCATTGAGTCGATTCTGACTCATAGCGAACCTACAGGACAAACTAGAACTGCTCCACACGGTTGCCAAGGGGCAGCTGGTACATTTGAACTCCTGACCTTCTGGTCAGTAGCCAAGCTCTTAACCACTGTGCCACCAGGGCTACCACTCACCTAATCCAATCTCCTCCTATTTCATATAAGGAAATAGGCAGATTTTGAGGAATATTTCCTTTTCTAAACCACACACCCACTAAGTTGGTGCCTACATGGCATCGTTAAGTCACGCTATGTGCTAATCTGGTTCAATGGTAGAATTCTTGCCTTCCATATGGGAGATCCAGGTTCAATTCCCGGCCAATGCACCTCAAATGCAGCCACATCTGTTCATCAGTAGAGGCTGGTGTGTCAGCTATGATGCTAAATAGGCATCAGCAGAGCTTCCAGACTAGGACAGACTAGGAATAAAGCCTGGCAATCTACTTAAAAAATCAGCCAATGAAAACCTTATAGATCATAATGGTCCAATCTACAACCTATCACAGGATGGTACACAACTAGCAGCATTTTATTCCATTGTCCATGGGGTCACCGTGAATCGGGGGCCAACTCAATGGCAGCTAATAACAATAACATGCACTAGACACAAAATAAAATAAAGTCATGGGACAAAATGGAGATGTTCGAAATAAATTAGGGAGTCTCAAGGACACCAGCCTAGCTCCAAAGGAGTTACACACGTTTCTAATTCTGCTCCTAATTGCTACTGAACTTCTCATTTCTGCTTTCCACCCACATGCCAAAAACAACCCCTTTTTTGGACTCCATTCGTATCACTTAACACAGATTCTCTGCTCACAACAAAATTTCATCTCCACACCTCCTCCTTCCAATATACTTAGTTGGATGACAAAGATCTTGGGTCCAACTCTTATTAGCTGAGTAGCACTGACAAGTTTCTTAACTTCTTACAACCTCAGGACCCTCTTCTGTAAAATGAGGGTAGTAACAGTGTCATCCTCCAAGATACTGTGAAGATTAAATTATGAAAATGGAAATTAAAATAATTTCTGTACAAGCCAGAGATGTGAAAATATAGGAGAGATAGGCTACAAAGTAAGTATATATGTAAGTCTGCAGGAAAAGTGATTGCTAAAGATGGAAGAACTATATATGTCAGTGAGGTTAATTTTGGATCTGCAATATTGCAAATTAAAAACAGATCATAAATATAATCAAAACTCTGTCTCAAATTCTTCTAACCTCAATTTTAACCTTTAATTTTAGCTCTTTAATTTTAACCATTTAACCTTTAATTTTAAACCTGAATATTGTCTTTGAAATAAACTTAGTTGCTTTCTTCAAGGAAAGGTAACATGTCTGTGCCACAACTAAAAACAACAACAAAAAAAAAAACCCAAACCTATTGCCAATGAGTGGATTCCGACTCATAGTGACTCTACAGGACAGGGTAGAACTGCCCCAGAGGGTTTCCAAGGAGCGGCTGGTAGATTCAAACTGCTGACCTTTTGATTAGCAGCCTAAGCTCTTAACCACTGTGCCACTAGGGCTCCCAACTATCTTTACAATTATGTAAATAAGAACTGCTTTGGAGTCTGGGGTCACAAAACCAAAAAAATCCTTAAAAAAATTGTCTTCATTTTACCATAAGAAAAATGTCCAGTAGTGGAGTAGTTAGTATTTGAAGGAAAAAATAAGTAGAGGATTAGTTAGTGACACCATAAAACCATGAAAACAAATATTTTGTTTCACAGTCAAAACAAGCATGAAAATCTAGGAGAAAGTCTAGAATCTAATATCCTGATTTTCTTATTTTCCTAAAAAAGAGTAAGGAATGTTTTGGTTTGTGTTGTGGTCAGGGGACAGGGGAGCGAGAGGTGTAAACATTTACACAGAGAAGAAAATGGCGATCATGATGTGGACGTGAGTCCGCAGCATTCTGAGATGAGGGGCCATTGGTGCAATCCACGGGGAGAGCGGGATGGACAGAAGCCATCACCACCACATATCAGGGATGCAGCAGGGTGGTGGGGGAAGAGGAGCAAGACATTGAAAGGCAGCAGACCCCAATGCAAGTCTCTGCTCCAATATTTGTCTACTGGTCACTAAACCACTTTGCTTCAGTTTCTAATAAATAAGGATCCACTGAGCCTACAAAGGCAGCTGAGATGACCACACACAACAATAAATGACAATGTGTTGTCCAATCAGTACTTATTTTAATTAGCCATCAGGACCCCCCCATGTACTTCACCTTGATTGCATCAAGTGATAGGGCATAGTCAGGGCCTGCAGGCCTCACCATTTAACACCTGAGCAGGCCCAAGTGAGATGCGTGGTGTTACCTTCCGAAAGGAAGGCAATAAATCATTTCCTCAAAAATGCCCTTCAGTGTAAATGGCACCATCTATTTAATAAGTGTAATGATGAGGGCAGGGTGAAGACCTCAGAAACACTACACTAAACACAATGTATATGATTGCAAAATGTACTCCATCTTAAAAAAGGGAAGAAAATATGCATCTTAAAAGCAAGGTAACATGGTAGTCGATGATAAACTTATGACAAGGACAGGGTGAATATGACCCTCCAACACACAACTTTCCAAAGTAACAAAAAAAATTTTAATTGTTGGAAACCCTCGGCAAAAACTATCAGAGTATCTAGGAGTGTAAAATGTGAAATATGTCTTTATTTGGTCTGCAAAGTAGAAAAATCATAAAATTATCAGAAATAGAAGAAAAATCATTATTATATTCATAGCCACATTTTAATCACCCCTCACCTATACTGATTATAATTAATCAGATAGAGATCTGTAATCTAGATAATTTATGCAAAAGATACTTTGACTAAAACTATTTAGATAGTGGAACAATCCCATTTGCTTTAAACTGTGTTTGTAGTTAATGTGATTTATCATTTATTAAACAAATATTGATGGCGGTGTTTATCTACTTCTTTCTAGACCCCAGGGATACAGCATTCATCCCTTTAATACCACTTCACTTCCTGCCAAACTGGCTCTTTACTGTTTAAACATAGCCTTGGTGCATTAATACAATAGACTTACGAGAAATAGAGACGCAGTGACGGTAACGATGATTCTTGTGGAATAAAATCATTATGAAATATATGGGCCACCAGAATTTTTGTGGGCCAAAACTTTGAAAGTTACTTTCCAAAACTGCATGAATAATAATCGTAATTTTAAATATGTTCCTTAAAAACAGGGTAGGGGGAAGTTTGCTTTTAAAAAAAAAAAGGTTTATATGCTGTTCCACTGACAAAAAGTAGTTGTAAATGGTTAGGGTATGTAAGAACATTTCCTTCTGAAAGCAACTGTTTCCTTAACAGTTAAGCACTGTTGGCTGTTTGCAACATCACTTCATTTAACCATTATGGTGGATGCCTTTTACTTTATACATTTTGAAAGACTCTAATATTCTACTTTTGAGTCCCAAAGTTAAAAGTCTCAATTACTTAAAAATGCATAGCAAACTCCAATTTACTGGAATATTCAGTATCTTAAATAATCTGATATTCTTTATGTTTTAAATAAAAAGTTGGTGTCCTAATATGAAATGAGGGTCTGAACACCTTGAAGTGCTTTATGAATCACGCTGAGATTAAACTGTGTTGCATCTACTTCAACAAATAATTCACACTCCACATGTAGAGTTTTTTAAGTATTTTCTTATATCTGAATTTTGGCCCATTCCCAAATAACCACAGAAAAACTTTTCTATGTTAATTTTCTGTGGCTGCTGTAACAAACTACCACAAACTGAGTGGCTTAAAACAGCAGAAATACATGCTCTCACAGTTCTAGAGGGCAGAAGTCTGAAATAAAGGCATCAACTAGGAGAGAATCCATTCTATGCCTTCCTAGCTCTGGAAGCAGCAGGCGTTCCTTCGCTTGTGGCTACATTAACTCCCCGCTATGCCTCCATCTTCACATTGTCTTCTCTGTATCTGTCTTCTCTTCTCTTATAGAGTATACTTGCTATTGGATTTAGGGCCCATCCAGATAATTCAGGATGATCTCTTCATCCCAAAATACTCAGCGTCTGCAAAGACCCTTTCTCCAAATAAGATAACATTCACACATTCTGCAGATTAAGATGTGGATATATTTTTAGGGGGCTACCATTCAATCCATTACACATTCTTACTCTTACACTCTCCCCCACAAAAAAAGAAATTCTCTTCTGAAAAAGAAATATACAGAAAAATTAATATTTGGGGAAAATTTAATATAGCATATCACACATTTCAAAAACACAAATTTTTACTCCTAGGGAATGATAAAGCAAGCCAGCTGCTACATACTGCATCATTTCAGTAATTTTAAGTAGATATATATACGTAACATCTTAGTTCCTATACACAGATGTTCCTTTGTGATCTAACTGGTCTGTATTCTAAGTTAACAAGAAGAGTTTTATTGCCTAGTATGTCCTCAGTACTGTACAGATTCATATATTTATTGATGTGTTTCTTAACCATACCAAGTGTGATGGTTAAGATTATGCGTCAACTGGGCTAGGTCATGGTTCTCAGTGGTTTGGCAGATATTATATAATCATTCTCCATTGTGTGATGTGATGTGATGTGAGCAGCCAGTATGCTGAAAGGCCGATCAGTTGAAAGCCAATCAGTTAAAAGCCAATCCATTACAAGCTAGTCTCCTTGGGCGTGTGGCCCGTATCCAATACATGTGGATCTTCTGGCAAAGCTCACC